AAGTTGCACCTGACTGAAATTAGCCCCTGAAATTAGATCATCCTGCACGCATTAGTTAGCTGTTTTAGCAGGTGCCAACTTCAGTCAACTGAAGTTCCAACTTTAGTCGGATCCCAACTTCAGTCACGACAACCTCAAAAAGTTTAGTGATGCTGTCGCAAATCTTAAACATAATTATTGCTCTACTTATAATCTTTTTTTTTTCAGTTATTGGCTAGAGCCGAGGAAAGCCTTTCAAGCCATTCAAGCCTTACTTTACTGAATTACAGAAAGTTCGACTTTCGCTCCACCCTGACCCAAAATTTTAGGCACAATGACCAGAATCGAACTTAAGTTAGATTCAACGTTTGGATACGTAAATTTTGAGTTAAAATATATTAGCGAACTTTAATAGAATATATAACCGACTTTTAATAAAAGAATAGTTTGTTATACTCTACTGAATTTTAGGAATGTCCGACTCCCGCTTCACCCTGGCCAAAATTTAGGTTTAATAATCAGAATCAAATCTAAATTAGGTTCAACGTTTGGATGCCTGAATCTTGAATTAAAATATTTTGGACGTATAAACGGAATTTAAAGTATAATTGGCCGTGTAAGCGGCCGATTTTACTTTACTATAAAATTCCGCTTATATAAACTACACAGGATGTAATTAACTTTCATGTACCTATTTTAGGGTGAAACCTTTATTTTACGCTATTTTTTTTTTATATTTAAGATTAAATCACCTAAATTAAATAGATATATATTTTTTGGCTGAAGGTTTAATATCCAGAAATTGAACTAAAATTAGGTTCAATGTTTGAATATCGAAATCTTGATTTAAATACGATAGCTAATTTTAACTGCAAATTAACTAACTTCTAATAAATACCACCTTAATTATCTATGCAAATCTGATTAAAATGAATAATTATACGGTGTTGCTATCGTAATTTTGGGAGAGCGTCAGTAAGGGCCAAGTTTAGATCAGCGATAGTGAACGAAAGATAAAATAATGTAAGATAGGGACAACAATAGGTGACTGTTTAAAAGTTTATGTATTGATTATGTAAGTTCACGGACATCAATGTCCTCGGATGTATGTGACGGAGTGTTATTATAATAGTTATAAGATATAATAAATAAATAAATATGATCGTGAAGATGTATTCACGATATAGATATCGGGATGTATAATACTAACAATACCGTGAAGATGTATTCACGATAATACAAAAGAAAATTCAATATAAAACCGTTTATTCAAATATCAGAGAGATCGAAGTCTGAGAAAATTTTATTCAAGCAACTAACGGGTCTTTAAATACATTTAAAAATCGTACAGACTATTTACTCAAGGTTACCATCGGTATTTCCTTCCTTCATGGATTTATCTTTTTCAATGCTAATTCTTTTATCCTTCAATGATGCTAAACACCTGAGATAAATAACAACTACGCCTTGCCTCAATGAGTTTATTGAAACCATTCCTATAACAAGATTTGGCTTCTTGATGCCTTCAACAAACACACGTCATGTTTTACATTAAACTCATCACAACATCTTACTCTGCAATACGTTCAATGTGTCATTTGAATATTATGGAAATCGATAGTCAAACCAATTAGAAAATACTATTAACTAATCTATTACAGGCTAAAAAAAGAATAGGGTGGATCTACTCTTAAACATTTACCGGGGTACACAATCTCACTATAAATAATAGGAATATGATAATTATAAGATGGACTAACTAAATATAAAATAATAATAATATGAATATGGCGATAACAAGAAAAGTAATAATAACAATGATAATAATATGTGATAAGGCTAATAAATAATACAGACAAGCTAATAATATGAATAACATGGATAATAATAACAATAAACACAAAAAAAAAAAAGTATGCGCTGGAATCTTCTACAAGATTGGGGTGCAAAAAAATTAAAAATTTTCAATAGTAACAGACTCACCTTCTTATTTATCGAGCTTCTGCAAAGATCGATCTGGTTCTGAATCATCTCTGGGTGGTGGCCAGTATAATTTAAGTTGATTACTATATACTTTTTGTTTGAGGATCTTATCATCCATAGTTCTTAGTTTATAAACACCATTTCTCAGAACATTATAAATATAAAAAGGACCTTTCTATTTCTTATCTAATTTGTCTTTATGGGTGCTTTCAAGCTCAGATCAATAATGAAGAACTTGATCCCAATTGAAAAATTCTGAAGAACAAAACAGAAATTGTGTCAGGCTTTTTGCAATTGCTATGACTTTTTAATTTGATTCTGGGTTTTAATATGAGCTTCAAGAATATCTCCTATAAGCACCTCTACTCGTCGAAGTAGGTGTTCTTGTAATCCTTCTTTAGAAGAAAAGGGAGCATCCAAATCTAAAGATCGAACTTCAGCAGGAAAAATGGTGTTTTGGCTATACATTAAGAAAAAAGGTTTGTAGTAGGTAATAGAATATCAGGTGGTTCGATAGCAAATAAAGCTGGTAGAATATACTGTTCCTAGTCATTTTAGAATTGTAGAATATATTTAGATAGTACCTCACAAAAAGTCCTATTAAATCATTCTACAAAGCCATTGGTCTGTGGGTGATAAGTAGTAGAACACTTATAGTACAAAATTTAGGGACAACCATGCTGACAGATAATATCGTCTATAATAAAAGAGGTTACAGAAGAAGCGATAGCATTAGGAATAGCTCGAGCTTTAGATCATTTGTGAAATACTTAGTAGTTATGATAATATACTTATTTTCTCTTGTTGTGGGTGGTAAATAGCCTACTAAATTAATTCTGACCCTATCAAATAGTAAACCTACTTTGATAAGATACTAAGGTTCACAAGTACAGGGTCAGTTTCTCCTTTAGCAAACATCACAATAGGCAATATATCTCTTAATGTCTTCTTCCATTTGTAGCCAGAAGTATCTTTGCAAGATTTATTGAAGTGTAAAAAAATTATTGAAATGCCCTGAGAATGAATCAGAATGTATACTAAAAAAAACGAATTGAGTTTCATAAGGTAACAGTACTCTCAATAGATGATTGGGTGGTTGATGGTATGTTTGTAGAGCTTGTTATTGATGACAACAAAAAATCTGGTTTGTTGCTTTAAGCAGTTTTGTTGCTAGAGTTGTAAATCAAGTTTGTAGTTGGGATTGCTAAGGTATTGAATATAGGTTTGGTATTGTTGGGGGTCTATTGCAAGGTTTAATTTTGGGAAGACAATTAGCTGAATTAATGGTGAGAAAAAAATATTTGTAATGATATGTGATAAAAGTTCTAGTTAAAAGTAAAAAGGGTGATTGGGATAAGAATATAAGCTTCATTTAAACTTAGGAGTATAGGCGAAGAGATATTCACGAGCATAATGACCAGCTTGATAGCAATTGTAACAAATGCACCTATGACTTTAGGTCTAGAGTTAATAGAATTAGTAAGCCAGGAAAGGCTATCAGTATTTGAATGATAATGACCAGGCCGATGAATAACCAAGAAGTCATATTCTTGTAAAGCCAGAATCCAACAAGCAAGCCATCCTCTGGTAGGTGATGATGCAATAAAGATTTAAGAGCCGAATGGTCTGTGACTATAGTAAATCAGGAACCCTGAAGATATTGCCAGAAATAGAAGACCAACCAAACAACAGCCAAAGATTCTTGTTTAGTAACTGAATAGTTTCTCTTGGCAGGAAGCATAGTTCTACTAGCATAATAGATTATCCTGTCTCATCCTTGAGAGTCTTTTTGTATGAGAATAGACCCTAAAGCAGTGCCAGAAGTATCTGTAAATAGTAGAAATTCTTTTGAAAAGTTGGGTAGATAAAGATAGGTGCCATAATAAGTTTGGTTTTGAGTGAAGTGAAGTTATCTTGTTGTTCATCTGTCTATCTATATTTTACATCTTTTTTAACAAAGAGTTAAGAGAAGCTGGAACCTTGGAGAAATTCTGAATAAATTGTTGATAATAAGAGGCCAGTTCTAAAAATTCATGTAATTAACGAAGGTTACCAGAGGTGAAAATTTTTTGATAACTTCTACTTTTATGAAATCTGAGAAATATTCTTATGACTAACTATATAATCAAGAAACTTAAGTTCAGTTTTCGCGAAATGATATTTCTTGGGATTTAACTTAAGTCTGGCTTCTTGAAGATGATAGAATATCTCCATAAGATGTTGAATATGGTCATCAATTGTGGAAGAAAAAATATTGATATCATCCAGGTAGACGACTATAAATTTTCTAATAATCTTTTGAAAAATTCTATTCATAAGCCTTTGGAATGGGATAGGGGTATTAGTAAGACTGAAAGACATTACATTGAACTCAAAAGTACTGAACTAGGATATGAAAGCTATTTTCTCATGGTCTGAAGGGTTCATCTTGATTTGCCAGTAACTACTAACAAAATCAAGAGAGATATACTAGAAAGAATATTGAAGTATATTCAACAAGTCATCAATTCAAGAAGAAGATAACTATCCTTTTTGTAATAGCATTAAGATAGTGATAATTAATACAAAATCAGGTTTTGTCATGTTGTTTGACAAGTATAATAAGGGAAGCCTATAGACTATAGGAAAGTTTAATAATATTATTCTCAAGCATTTGATCTATTTCCTCTCTTAGGAACTTCCACTTCTTGGATAAAGTTCAATAGTATTGTTGTCTAACAGAAAAGGTATCACCAGTATGAATAGAGTGGGTAATGAGGTTAGTTCAATCTAGAATTTGAGGGATCTATGTGAAAGATCATCATAACTTAGAAGCAATTTTTCAATCTTATAATGATCATCATTCTATAAATGTTCAATATCCAACTCTTGAGGAGATTCTTTTATCTTATTGAAAAAGAACTTCTAATAGAGTTCCAAGTCATCATTGTCGAAGTTAGAGGAATTATAGACTTTTCACAATTTATAATCATTATTGTTATCGAGATTTTACTAGGCATCATCTGCTCCTATATCTTCTAAATGAACATTATACCAAGAAGTTACTGAATTATCATCACAATCATCATTTTTCTCAGGTTCTACTATATTATCACAATGATATTAGAAGATGATAGATTCATCTTCTGAAAAGCCAAAAAGACAGTTCACCAATTTCTTTTCTTTATACTCAGACTCGGTCTCATTCTTACTTCCAGAGTCAACTAATTCATCATCATTATTCTGCTAGATTTTTGCAACTTTAGGGTGGCTGTCTTAGATAAGAATATGCTAGAGCTTCTTGAATTTAACAGGAATGATGATTTCTTGATCCTTCTATTAGAATGTCATTTCAGAGATATTGTAGTCAATATTAGTACTAATTTTAAATAACCAGTTATTCTTGACAATAGCCTGATATGATGGTGCATCTGTGACTACTATGTTAACAGGAACTATGATACCTCCAACTGAAAATAGGAAGCCTGAAATTTCACTGATAGCTTTTTGCTTTGACCATGTATATTAACCATATTAACTATAGAGAGTTTTTCTATCTTGATACCAAGCTCACTAAGGAGGTGGGAAGAAACAACACTTCCAGAGGATCTACTATTAATGATAAGAAGAATAACTTTATCTTGGACTATAGTGTTGCAATACAAAGCCATTAATTTAGGAGTTGGCTGAAGATTGATGATAGTACAAGTCCTTTTCTTGAGGTCTTTGTCTTATGGAGACTCTTGGCTAAATCTGTATAGAAAAAAGTAACTACCTGTAAAAGTTGACTGAAAGTGATATTAGCAGGTTTATCACAGATATCAGATATGATTAAGTATCAAGGGATAAGAGCAAGATTTGAGATGAGTTGTCTTCAGCTTTTTTTTTTTGACAGAAGCCATTTTTGTTTTCTTCTTTAGCTTAAAGACTAGAGCAACTTTTCTTTTGGGTTCTTGTTCACTATTCGGGACCTTTTCTTAATCACTAACCTTTTCTTCTTCTATAAGGTTTTGAAGAGTCAAATCCTTAACATGTTTTCTCTTAGATCGAATAGAATGGGTAGATCTTTTAGATTTATTAGCAAGAAGAAACAAGAGCTTATTTTCATTGAAATAGAAGTTCAAAAAGGTTTGGGCTTCATTTCCTTGAGCTTGAACTAGAGCATTATTATTTTTAACTAGTGAGAGATTATTTTGAGGACCATGGTTCTGTTCAAGAGGAGTAGCATTGCTTCCTAAGCTACCATATCTGGATTATTTTAAGGTGAAGGATTAGTACAGTTGTAAATATAGTGGCCTGGCTATTCACATCAATTACAATTGAAGTGAGGAGAATTTTTTCAATTGGTTGGGTCATCTAGAGGGCTCACGTAACTCTTGGAGTTTATTCATTACTGCAGTTAAAGTTTTCATAAATTTGACAAGAACTTTTCCATATTAAAGAAGTTTACTATCAAAGAGTTGTTAGAAGTTACAACTACAGGTTGTGAGGGGTAGGTTGGGGTTCAGATATTGGGAGACTTGAGAAGAGAC